TGCGTCGTCTACAATATGCGAAGTAAGCTTGGTTTAAGAAGTAAGAGTAAGAAATTTACCAATCACAGTCAATTGTGAAAAGAATAATCGACTGTGATTGGTGAATTTCTTACTCTTACTTCTTAAACTAAGATTACTTCGCATATTGTAGACGACGCATTGTAGACAGGCCTTTAGACCCCGCATGACAGTGGTCCTCAGTATATTCTGGACAGGAGATACGCATAACGGCAATTCGGAGCAATCAGCTAACCAATCAAATTTCGTTTTGTCCTTGCTATGCATTCCTCAAGTTGTCTCACCTGTCTTTTTCCACCATAGCGGCGATGCGGCATTATGATGAATGAAAATATCAGCTGATAACAACGAAAAATACCGGTAAAATTCATATAAACTTGACTGAAGATTTAAAGTGTTCAAGAGATCAAGCGAAGTCGAAACGAGTTTCGATTTATCGACGATTTCATCAGGAAGGTTTAAGAAGAGTCAAATGGCAAGGACTCTCACATGTCTGATGGCTCTCAACATGTCACAAATAGAAAGGTTAGTAGTGAGGCCGATCGGAGACATGCTTACCGTGGAAGACGATGATTTTACGATGAAAAGCGTCGGCGAAGATTATCAAGATATGTCGGAATGCAACACGGAATTTAAAAAGAGAATTGTACCCGTAGTTACCATAGAAGAAACGGAAGATAACGTATCTCTCGATGGAAATCTAACCTATGATGATGGCGTGAAAAAGTGGGACCAGATTTCAGTGCATCAAACGGGGATATTAGTGGAAGAATCGTTTGAAATCGAGGAAAATCCACATATTGACATTAAGGAAAAAGAAGAGCGGAAGGAAGTAATTAATTGGAGATTGGCTCCGGTAGATCATTCAGCAGTAGAATGGAATAGGGATGAGGTACAAATGGATGAGGTACAAATGGATGAGGTACAAATGGATAAGCCATGCACCGAGCAATCGCATGTGGAACAGCCACATACGGAACAACCACGTGCGGAGCAACCACATGTGGAGCAATTACGTGTGGAAGAACCATGTGTGGAGCTGCTACGTGCGAAACAACCACGTGTGGAGCTACTACGTGTGGACGAGTCGCGAGACCTGCGAGTAATCAATCCTGTGGCAATAACACCGAGCAGTACGTTGCAAACACAGAATGGTGAGTTTAGAACCATTGAGGAAATAAAGGAAGAGGAGGAACGGCTAATGACGGAAATCGAAAAAAGAGGCGAGCTGCAGAAAACGATTAATGAAAGGGTAGCAAGAATTAAAAGAATGCGTGAGTTTTTGGAAAAATTCGATGACATTGAAGAAACTGAGGCTAAAGAGGAGAATGTAGAGATGGAGAAACGACTAAATGAAGCGATAGACGCTTACTTGACAGCAGGTGGGCAAAGCAAAAGTTTCAGCGATAAATTCACAATAGTGGACAACAACGGACAAAGCACGTGCGAAGCGTCAATGGTTGTTACATTAAAGAACAAAAGACTGAGGAAGAACATCCAAGAAAGTAAAATGTATCGGATAACATATGATATCACAGGATCTGAAATAAATCGATCGTACTGCGTGTTTACGAGCGACGATACTACATCACGGACAAACAAAGCTAGAAAGACAACGGAGACGAGGACATCAGAGATAATAACGCGATCGATGAACTTAAGAAGAAATTTATCAACAAAGTCAAATTCGAACAAAGCGGCGCAGGTCAGAAAAAGGGAAAAGAGAAATACACAATGGTCACTGAAGAATAGAAAGCGAGCTTACAAATCGAAAGAACGAAAAGGGAGAGATCCAATGACAATTGTGAGGAATGAAAAGGGAAGGTTCGTGAAGAAAAAAGTTGTAACGAAAAAGTGAAAAAGCGCTTCCAACAGCTGACGAGAAAATGAGCGAGGTAATCACCGACGCAGAAACTTATAGGCCCGTATTCATAGTCAGACCTTGTACTTAAGGCTTTCTTAAATTTATCTTTAGATGCTTAGTAGCAAATGAAATAATTCGTAGAGCGTAATGGTTTTAAACTCTTAAATATAAGGCCTGACTATGAATAGTATTTTCGAGTGCAGTCGATTTTAACTTAATCCGGGTCGGATATTGATGGCATCATATGCTTTATTTTGATTTCTGATTGGACAAAGTCATGATACTTTTGGATCAAACATGGGTTAACCGAACTGGGTCGGGTTCAAACCCACTGCACTCAAAAATGCTACTAATCTGAATTGTCAGATTAAACTGACAAAGAATCCTTTAGTTTCAGAAGATGCTGCACCATCGGCGCAGCCGATAAGGTCATCTCTTCTTTTTCTTGTTCTTCCTCTTTGTCTTCTCCTTTTCCTCCTCTTCATATTTGATCCCATCTTCACTAATGACGATACAGCCAGTAACGTAGATGAAAAATTGTTTACTATATACTTCCAATCTTCCACAGCCGCAAAGAAATAAAAATGCAAAGTCAACTCACAATGTATAAAACACACTCGGTAGGTCTCATCAGAAATTTCCAAAAACATTATAAAAAATTATAAGAAACAACAGCTCACCGAAGCAAAACACGTTCATCCCAGTCGAGTCAATTCAGATTAGCATTCATCTTGAGTGAGACAGAGGCGGTTATAACAGAAGATTTAACTAGAGAACTCAAAGGACACCAATGAGACACTGTCACGAAAGAAAAGAGCAACTGACGTGTTTAGAAAGGCGATCGAGAGCGGCGAATGGCAAGGATGCAGCAGTCAATAGTATCTCGAGGTGCTGAGAGGATGAAAACGCTTGGTAATTATAAGTTATTTGAAGATTTAACCGCGAAAAGTTCATTTCATATGTAGTTTATGTTGAATAATTAATTATATGTTTACTGTATAAAAAAAACAGAATATTTTAATGTGTAGAATATTTTATATTTAACACGTTAAATGCCATGCTGATCCCTACGGACTGGCACTAGACTTTCTGTTTATGCCAATCCTACGGATTGGCGCTCAACTTTTTGTTTAGGCTACAACACCTTGCGTACCGAGGATGAACATTTCGTTTAGGCGACGTCAATTCTTGAGGAATTTAAAGTAATAAGTGAAGAATATAATACTTTCAAAAATTATCAAAAATTAATGCAATTTATTAAATCAGTTTAAACAAAGATGGGGTTTTCCTTTACAGATATTACAAAAAGTTACAATTTTTTTTGGTTAAATTTTTCACCATTTTCCACTCAAATATTTTTTAACATTCTATGTAGTAGTCATCCCAGCCTTGTTCCTCGTTATCTTTTGTTTACACTTTAGTTCATGCACCGCGAGTGAGTCTCCAATTACCTGGATGGTATTGTGTGGCATAAACGGAAAATGAAACAAATAGGCTTGGCACTTAACGTGTTAATTAAAAAAAATATGAGTCTTCGCGGTTGTTAGTGTTTAAATTGTATAAGGCAGTAAAATAGAATTTGCATAAATAATTGAAATGTACTTACCAACGAACAATTTTGTAATCTTTACTTTTTGTAATTTTTACCTTGTTTATGTACATTTTGTAATTTTTATCTCGTTTCAAAATACACAATTGACTGGATTTAAGTCCTCTTTAGTGCTGAAGTATAAAGTATACTTTATCGCCTTATATAATTCATGCATCACAGCAGAGGATCATGTAGGAATCTTGTATTGGATTATTCTTAGGATCACAAATTATATACTGTTCACCCTTTTGTATTTCGAAACATGTATGTCCACCTACGAGAAAAAGTATAATTTTTTAAAAGTCCTATCGACTTTTACCTTGACTTTAAAGAAAAATGTTCAAACAACATGTACAAAATTGCACACTTTGAAAAGTAATGTTTTCAATAAAATTATCCAAAAAAGTTGAAAAAAATCAAATTTTTGGATAGTGAAGAATAACCGTATATTATGTCGAAAAATAGAATTGTTGTTGATCATATATTTAGAGTCTTATTTAAATGTGATTACAACTTTATTATGATAAATATTTATATATGTATTCAAAATGAGATATCCGCCACTCACAATTCGTCATATAATATATTTAGAGAACTTTTACTCTTCTAAATATATCTTAAGTTTAATAGTCATGTGTGTGTGTGTATTTGTACGCTATGATGTATTTAAAAAATATATATTTAAAAAAATAAAATCCAATTTTATATTTTAAATATATGACATTTCAACTTTTTGTGATCATTTTGAATTTAAATTTTGATAGTAAATTTGGAATCACACGCAGCATTCTAAAAAAACCTATAAAATTGTCTATAAAGTTCTCTTCATATGAAACGCATCTCTTTTGGGAAATCGGGGGGGGGGGGGATACGAAAGGATTAATATAATTTATTTCAATTTTGTTTGTATATGTTCGATAGACTTTTTCTGGTTTAAAATTGATATCGTAAAAGACCGTAAAAGAGTGTCTAAAATTTAAATTATCCATAAGGAACTAAATTTTCTTTTTTTATCCATAGAAAATAGTTTCTACCGTAAGTTTATTGTAAGAATTAAATTATTTTGTGTTTTGATCGTAATAAGCAGTTTATATCGATTAAATTAAGTAATTTTGTATTTTGTTTTTACAGTAGTAAGGTTTATACATCAATTCAGCGTAAGAATAGGATAATTTATGTTTATGATTATAAAGTGATTTATACAGCGAATTTACCGTTAGATACATTTTTTGCTTTATATGAGGACAATATAATTTTAATAGTGTAATTAAAATATTAATTTATACAAGTTTATATTTAAGAATGTGATTTTTATATTGTGAGATATCTATATTATATCAGATAAGTTTAACTATTAGAAATATTAAGTTACCATCTTTACAATATAATAGGTCTAGATCGGACGGTATTGATTTGTGAAGATGAACACACATACACACACACACACACACACACACATAAAAAAGGGAAATTTATGTTAAATAGCTGGAATTATATAAGAATGGTTGAAGTTAGTGAGCGGTCATATCGATTGGCAAGAAACTCTGAAACAAGTATAGACATTTTCTACCTTATCTCGCGTAACTGATATAAGGAAATGTTGACGACAGTTCTTTTCAGGCTTCGGACCTATGCGTTACAAAGTTCGTGGACTGTTATTAAAAAAGTGAAGCAGAGTTTCGCCTAATATCGCGACTGATTAAAATTTATAATTATTAAAATTGATTGCATTATTTACGTTGTGACAATACTTGCGGTGACTATGTACATTTCGAGCGCAAATGCATGTATGTTTGTGAAGTAACGAAAGCGACTGTGTAAATACGGAAGAAATATTATTTTACTTGAAAACTAAACATTCGTACTTATCTATTCATCTATCGAACTTTATTTAGCGATCCGTTTGTCCCTCTACTTCCATTTTTCTTTCTTTTCTCTCATTATTATATTATACTATATTTAGCTTATACTGTTTTGTCACATTCTTATTATTCATTTCTACAAAAATATTCTCAAATAATTTTCAGTACATTCTCAGAATATTCTCAGCAACATTCTTTGTGTTATCATATTGACAGATAATCTAATATTTATCGTCAAAACAATAAATACAGCCAACAAAGAAACAGCCATATAAATAAATTTATAACTTTAATCTATAATTTTGCCTATCCGGTCGTCCAGCTATAATAGAATGGATGGAATATGTTTTTATTAAATTTGTTTTAAATAATTGATTTTATTAAAAATTAATAATAAAATATTGAAAAATTACTTAATAGATGCTATTAAATTTTTATAACATATTTATATATAATAGTTTATATTAAAAAATTCTTTTACTTTAAAAAAATTAATAAAGTTAAAACGTCAAAAGTTAAATTAGAATCTACTCATTTAATATTAGAAAGTTGTGATGATAATAAGATGAAATCATTATTAGGAACAGCTAAATTGTTATATGTACTATTAAAATATAACGAAGAAACAAAGATTTGTAATTGATATACAGCAAATACAATGCCACTATATTAGGCTTGTGAACGTGCCGAGAATTTAATTAAATTAAAAGAATGTATATGCTAAAGAATTAATACAAAGATGTTTATATTACAACAGAAAATGTAGATGTTTTTGAAGGTATACTGGTTTAATTAAAAAGTTGCACTTTTTTTCCGATAGATTTCGGAATGCAAACTGTTCACCGAGCGATTTGTCGTTCCTTATGGATTCAAAATTTAAAGGTATTTTTTAATTCAACCGCTCTACGAATAAGACTGAGTTCCGAAATCCATAAAAAAAAAATGTGTTGTCTTTTAGTTGACGAGTGTACAATTGAAATATAGGTGAGAAAAGTATTCAGTTGTTTGTCACTCCAGGATAATTCCATACACAGTTTGTGATAAATTAAAAGATACGTTATGGTATAAAAATAAAGGTAAAAAATCCTAAATTGCTCGATAAGTAACTTTTTTATCGGATATCCGATTGTTAACTTGGCTATTTCTTTCAATTCAGTTTTTAAGGATTTTTATATAAAGTATCGCTTTCATCTCTGGTTTTCCTGTAATTTTGTAAAGTGTATTTTTACGCGAATAGAATATATTATTTCTGAGAAAATCGTCGCTCAAATCAAAATTTTTTGATGCCGATAAATTGGAAAATGACAATTAAATGATATCTTATGTGTTCACGCTCATTAATTAATGTTATCATTTATGAATTAAATATATAATATGGTTAAAATTAAAATAAACGTTGTCATTAATATTAATATTTACACATTAATAATATCAGTTCAGTTAATATAAATTAAGTATGAAATGAGAAATTTGAGTGGAACGACAATTAATAATAATAATAAGAAGAAAACGACATCAACTTAAATATGATCAGCCGTCTTTAATATAATCAATTTTGAATAATCAAAACCACAGTTGATAATATATCAGTGTTCTTCAATTATTCAAGTAATTCAATTACCCTTTGAGGTAGTCACGCTGTATTAAATACAGACCGACATTCTTCTATGGCTGCGTTCCATTAACGCTCGCAACGCTGCGAGCATCGTTTGTCCTTGTTTAACATTTCATAAACGACAAGGATAAAATGATTCCACGAGCAATGTGAGCGTTAAGTGGAACGCAGCCTATATAGTACATATCTCGTACGATGTAAATGGAAATTTACCGCTATTTGGTTCGTATCTCCGCTAAATGCGTGCCTTGACTTTTTACTAATATTTTTTTCACTTAACATTGCTTTGTTGGTTTTACCTTATTCAGTTAATCCACCCGTCACTGTCCGCAATTATAGTGAGTATGAATATTAATAAAACCATGTACGATATTATAAAATAGACTATAAACAATACTTAAC